CGCGCCCCCCGGGCCGCAGCCGCCTCGCCGGGAGCCGGCCCGGTGCCTGTCCGGACAGCCCCGTTTCCTGACGAGGTGTAGCCGAAATAGCGCCGTGTCTGGGACCCCGCCGGCCCGGCCAGCGCTCCGCGGTAGCTCGGAGAAGGGTTAGGAGGGCAGAGTGGGGCGCAGAGGGCCGTGGTGGCTCTCGTGGGCGCCTAAAGGCTTTTCTCTTACCCCTTTTATAGCCTAGGTAATAGCAAGGAAGACCTTACAATGTGCTTGCTTGCAGTAAACTCTAAAAATAGAAGCGCATCTGAAAATTACAGCATGTAGGAGAAGCAATAATCTTCTTTAGGGGTGTGTCGAATATTACTTGACAATTTTTTTATTTGCAGGAATAGTAGAATTTCAAAAAATAGTGGGTAGCTTAATTGAACTTGTTGATCAACTGGCAAAAGCTGCTGAAAGTGAGAAGATGAAGGTACTGTGCAATTAATTACTGGCTTGTCGTGTGCTCTGTACTGTGCATGAAAAACCAGATCTCTCCCTTCCTCCTTTTACAGCATAAGCAATCCTCTTCTGTCAGTCTCGAACAGGCATTTCCATGGTAGTTAACATCTGTCTGTCTGCAGTGTGAAAGCATGGGGCCTTTTAATTGCTATTAACATCTAGAGAAGACTTTTACAGGCACACTCAGAGTGTCATATTACTCCTGCATTTAACAGTCCTACTGTTGCTGCTTATCTGTATATTTGCACATACATAGAACATGTATTTTTTAACCACTCCTACTAGCAGAGCTTTGTCCTCAAGAGGCGTGAGAGGCTCTGTGAGGAGGAGGAGGAGGAGAAGGGCTTTCTAAAGACCAAATCAGTGAATGGCTCTGTAACTACCTTTGAAATTTTCTTTATGTATTTCTATGTGACACCCAGTGGTGTGGGTTTTTCACATGTTATTGTGGAAATAGAAATTCATGTTTAGCACAATTGTAGGTAAGTGCTTTTTTCCTTATTTGTTCTGGGGAAAAAATTATAACCAGAGCTTGTCTGTCTGTAGGACCAGTCACCAGTGATCAGTCTGTATTTCCAGAGGAGTCAGTGACTTTTGTTCCTTGAGTTTGAAGGAAGTCTCAAATGCCTTAATCTGCCCAACCTCTACAGGGACTGTTTGCCTGTTCCACCAACCGTTCGGTATTCAGATGTCACCCTGCTTTATTGTTAGCATGGCTGAAACACTTCAAAATCAACCTGCTAGTAGTGAAAGGGGTTAAAAAAAAAAACCAAACCCAATACAACTACATCACTGACCATCCTGTTTCGACAGGCCATTGGTGCACGAAATTTGCTGAAGTCTATAGCAAAGCAAAGAGAAGCTCAGGAACAGCAACTTCAGGCTTTAATAGCTGAGAAAAAGATGCAGCTGGAAAGGTAAGTTTTCTATTAAACACTTCTGGGGCATTATGTAGGCTGGAAAGTCAATCTCCCCATCTGTGCTTGGCTGCAGGACACTGTCTAAGCTTGTTCAAACAATCCGTCTGCAGTGAAGGTGTGTCCTCTGGCACAAAGCACACGTGGAACCATGCAGAGCTAAAGCCTAGAGTTAACTTAAGGCCCTGTCTGCCACTCGTCAAGACGGTTTGTCTCTGATGACTTTGTGGCTAAATAAACAGAGGCGGCATGAGATCATGCAGTTGAGGAAACGAATAAAACCGTAATACAGCGCCACGTGTCTGACTTGTGAAGGCACTTTAGAACGGCAAAGTCTAACTCACGCAGCCACTGCTCTGCAGGTGACTTGCACACATAGCCTAACGTCCCCTCACGCAGACCAGTGAACGTTGTAGTAAACCATCTAATACGGGCTGGATGCAGCTGATAACGATTTGCTTTTTTCTTTCAGATACCGAATAGAGTACGAGACCCTCTGTAAAATTGAAGCAGACCAGAACGAATTCATTGATCAATTCATTTTTCAGAAATAGAGGATTTTAAGATAAAACCAAACTTGACCATTCCAGAATCTTGAGAACTTCAAAAATATGCAATTTTTCACTGTGTATGAATGAAGAGATGGTTTGTGCAAATGGAAGTGTCTTTTAATTCAGTGTGAATTGCACTAAAAGTGGCAATAAGGAGGGCTTTCTAAGAGGTGTAAAGACTGTTCTGTCCTTTTGATTTTATAAGTTTTGTACAGTCAGTAGTTCTAATTCAAATTATAGTTGAATTAATACTACTGTTGCTATGTTATGTCTCTCACTTTTTGAAGTGTACAGCTCTTTCAAAGAAATCAAGAAATAAATTATTGTTTTCAGACTTTCTGGATATACCAGAATTGCTTCTGCTATGTTATTTTAGAGTTTAAGAGTTTTCAACTCCCTGGCTAGTCATCGTGATTTTCCTGTATGTAGTATTTTTCACGTCTGTGAAGACACAAGACAGAAGCAGCAGTAACTTTTATCTATATTGACCAGATTATTTTTTCTACAGAGTTAAGAAAAAAATGCAGAAATCTGTGATTAACAGAATGGATCAATTACAGACACACAAAAAAGCAGAAAATATGGCAGAATTAAGAACTTTAAACTATGCCTGAGGTATGTCCATATAGGTAGTAATACTACAGTAGAATTCTTTCATGGGCATTATTGGTGATAGAACTGCAAACTGATGCGACAAACCATTTTAAGTGTACAGTGACACCAGGAGTATATATAAACTATAAACACGAATGTGACATTTAAAAACTGAATGCTTGTGATATAAAATCAAGCCTCTTGTTGAAGTGCAAATAGAGGCCTTTTATGTCTGTCTTTAGGCAACCAAATATGGAAATGTCAGCCTTTTCAAAGTCTGTGGAAGGTTTAAATTTTATACCAGTGAAGTCCTGAAATATATAGGCAGTGACTGAAAATCCTTCTCGGTGACCTGTAATTTTACACAAGTCTCCAAGTTTGATTCCTGCAGATCAGATTGAGATTTAAAAAAAATAAAACAAACCCACCAGCCCAGAATTTCTATCAGGAGTAGGTTTTATTTATGGTGACTTATGCATATATTTACTGTGTGAACTATCTACAATCTCATGGTCATTTTAAATTCCTTTTAGTCATTCCCTTAAGAAGATTAAATGTGGTTTAATGCATTTAGTTATTTATTGCCGTACTAGAAGTGATTTCATGGAAGAGAGAAATTTACAAATCCTTGTTTACGATTCCTGAAGTTCTTCAAAATCCTCTAGGAAGTACGCCTCATTGTCAAATAAAGTTCACTTTAAGCATTCAGAAACCCAGATTTTGGCACATTTATCACTGATAAGACATCTACAATTAATCAAAATCGAAGCAGAGCAAAGAAAGGTGACATTTTAAAGGAAGGGGTGAGGAAGTTAAGAATTACTGTATGATTTGAAATGCTTCAAAAGCATAGCTTTGCAAATCTGTATATAATCAGTTACGGATTTTGCAGAATATGCTGTTGGAAGACAAATGTCGTACCTAAGTGGTTTTCTAACAGTCACCTTGGAAAAAGGGAATTTGAAAGAAAAGTATCGGCTGTAGTTCCCCCCCCCCATCACACAGCTACACGTCAAATGGTTATTTATTTTCCTGTTACAGATGTACCGCGCAAAACTGACAGCGGGAGAGGAGCGAGGTCCCTTCACCTGCGTGCGCCCAGAAACCACACGGAATTGCTAGTGCAGGCATCTGCCAAAGCGACTTCTGATTAAAGGAGAGCTGTAAACTCAAACCAATTCCAGTTCTTGCAGGAGCCAGGTGCTCTGGTAATAGCTGTTGCAGCAACAACGCGAGGCAGGTGTTTGTCCCAGAGGGCTACATCAGCACAGGGTCTGAATCAAAACCAGTATGAGTGTTGTGCTTACAACTGTTGTAGTGGACTACTTCCTTTTCCTTTTCTCCACATGGTTATAATGGGGGTTGTAGAGCATGGTAAAAAGAATCAGAAGCGGTATCAGCAAGTACGGCACATATATAGATAGCAGAATTAGGCGCTCGCGTTGCGTCTGAGGTCCCAAATGCTCAGACTTTGAGAAATCGTGGAACAGGATATGCGCAAGGATAGCAAAGAGAGTTGTAGCTACGTGGGTGGAGTAGATAATCGCAGGAGTCCTTATCCATTTGCAGCCACCTGTATAGAAGCAAAAAGGAAACAATATTTAAGAATTTGGAAACAAGCAGAATTCAGTGGCTTTAAATTAACAGAACATTAACTGCTATACCTCTGACAGGATGAGGCATAAGTCATGTTATGTAGGTAGTAGGAAAAAACAGGTACTAGTAGCAACCCAGGAAAATTATCTACCTTTAGGGAAATTTAGAATGATGGTGTGCTCCTGAAAGTTTTAAAGTAACAAAATGAGGACACGGGCTTGACCCAGAACTTTATCTACCTCGGAAATGTGCCAGATGTCAGAAGTTGATGCTGGTTACATATAAATGGCTGCAGTGGAAAAGGGCCTATAGCCACGGGTTTTGTTTCTGACAGGCCTTATTCTATGCTGCTTTCTCAGATAAAACTTGCCATGAAAACAGCACAGCACTCCACGCCACGTGGTACATCCCTATAATTGCTTAAGACTGATAAATAAACTTTCTCTGCTATACAGAAAGCAAGTGTTATGCAGAAATGCTGCACAGGACATATTCTTACACTTGTTTCATACCAACCTTTTAAGAAGGCGTAAACTGCAACGGGGAAGAAAGGCATTTGGAAGAAAGCTTCGCAATATATAAACGCCTTAAACCACTCTGGGGGCTGGAGCATCATGGGGTCTCTAAAGGTGGCTGCATACCACTGTAACAACTCTGTCAGCTTTAGAGAAAAAACCAAAACAACAGATTAATACACTGAACATCAACCGCAACAGGGGAAAATTGTGACCCTCATCTGGCGGTCAGAGGAAGCCATCGTTGCAGTGGGAAAATACGTGCTCTCATCTTGGTACACAAGGCTTCATACCACAATTCAGTTTTAACGGGCTACATTTCTGAAATCTTTAAAATGATGAACCCTTTCCATTAAGTATATTTTAAATCTGCACTACAGGCAATTTTAGGATTACTACGGCATTAAGTGCAGTTGCTTTCCAAAAACTATTTCTGAAATGTCATTTCTTACCAGAAAAAAACCAAACGACAAAAGATCCGCACCGTGGCATTAGCAGATATTGAACTCTTGTACTTTCCTCTGTCTGACCCTCCCGTTGCCAGCTGAGGTGGGCTCAGTCTTGCAGACACTGCTTGGCACTGGCTCCTCTGACCAGGAGCTGTGACCCAGCCAGGTCTCCCCCAGGCAAGAGGCGCGGGGGCCGCCTGCAGCCCGGGAGCGATCGCCAGAGCACGGGGTTCTGGCTGCTGCTGCTCAAACAGCCTGGCCTAAGAATTTTGGCTTGGCGAGTTGCAATTAGTTTCCACGACAGAAACGTAAATTCCAGCATGGCTTTAAGGTGGACTTTGAACGGAGAGATAGGTATTGAGATTTGCTAGTTAACTATTAATTAAAAATGGTTTCTATAACGGAGTAATTCTACAGGCAGTTCTAATGGCAAAAATCAAATTCATTAATTGTAAAGCTTGGATAGGAAGTTATGGCTGATCTCATCCTGATGGCGAGAGTTGATTATCTTCTATCCAACTATTATTTTAATTGACCTTATTATGTTTATTGTCTTCTAAAAGTTTATTCAAAACCCACCAAAGCAGAGATTTTTACTAATAAATCTTGCTAGTATGCGTGCTTCTGCAGCGGTAACAATTTGCTTTTATGTTTTTGGCAGGAGTACGGGTGAAAATCAGGGTCCCAGAGCGCCCAAGGCAGCGACAGCCGCACCGGGGGCACATGGCGGCACACGCAGCGCTGCCAGCATCTTTAGGTCGTTAATGCAGTATGTGACAGGTAGGGCGGCAGGTACGTTCCAATGCAAACTAGTTTTATAGTGCCAGTTCACTTGCCTCTACCTGCAAAATACACAACATACCACACTGGGGGGATTGCCATCCACACCATCAGTTCATCAGGGACTTTTCTTGCGCGCCCCTGCGACTGTGGGCATTTAAACGGAAAGGTGCAGCCACATCTGACTTACACGTTAA